GTTATGATAGAACTGTTAGGTTGGCATTCCGCTTGCTTCTATTTTAGTTTTTCGTGGACAAAAATTAACACTAAATATTAAGCGAATAATCAGTTAGAATTTTGACAATGTGTTTTATCATAAAAAGAGCAGTAATAACATCACAATTTGACCACACAAACCGTCGCCTACTATGTCAAAATATAATTAGCGTAGGCTTAGAATAAAATATTGGCTTAAAAAATCGTCACACAGATAATAATCGAGCTACTAATTGTGCCAAAAAAAACAATAATTCATAATTCTTTTTGGAACCACAAAGTCTTTAACCTATGTTAAGCAACCTCTATAAATAGCTACGAAAAAAAAAATAAAGTATACAGATATCATCAACAATTTTAAATCTGTCTATGTTAAGTGTGAAAAGGTTTCAAACGTCAAACACATGACACGAAGTTTGCATTAAAAATTATCAAATGAATGATAAATGAAACACGTAGAAGTATTGACGTATTTGAGCCCTTTGAGAGTTTTCGTGAAATAGTAAACAGCTATTTTATCACGAACATTTCGAGTGCTTCGTTAAATGATGAAGGATGTTTATTTTGTAAATTATTCAAAATTAACGACCCGCCCCGGCTTCACACGGGTGCAATATTCATGTATTATACATACAAACCTTCCTTAAGTATCACTCTATCTATTAAAAAAACCGCATCAAAATCGGTTGCGTAGTTTTAAAGATCTAAGCATACATACGGACATACAGCGAAAGCGACTTTGTTTTATACTATGTATTGATTGTAAGTACTTTGACATATTAACTTAGGAATACAAATAGATTTTTATTTTTTTTATTAAAACATTGCCCCACACTAGGATTTTCTCCTGTGTCGTGGGTGCGTTTACAAACATACAAGTTCACATACACATGACACCCAGACCCAGAACAACAATATGTGGATCATACAAAGAGTTGTTCCGTGCGGGAATCGAACGCGCGACACGTTGCGCGGCAGTCAGTTGCCCAACCACCGCACCAATTGCACAGTTGAGCATTA